GTCAATTACAATCATTTAATGAGCACATTACTAATTAATTTTCATTTTAACATTAAATTAAAAATTAATTTTTTGACAATATGATGGAAAAAAAAACAAAGTTAAATTCAAATGATTAGTTAAATTAATTTTGATATATAACATGAATGAGTTTTAATTTGTTTTTAAATTTATCTTTAATTAATTTATTCTTTTTTAAATTATTTTTCTATTTTATTTTTATGCTTTTTTCGCTGTGAAAACCTAAAATATATCAGTTTTTTATTTAAAATATACCAATGTATTATTTTGAAATATCACACGTGTTATCAGCGTAATGAGTCGATATTAGCGCTGGAATTGTACGTCATACGTGTACTAGTATGTGTAAAATAAGTAGTACCCTGTGATCAATATACAATTTCAGCTATCTCTAATTATATATCACTAAATTAGAAACTATCAATCGATGATATTTCGTTTTTTTTTTCGCAAGTTTCTCTAAAATATTGCATGATTAAAATTAGCAAGTGATAATAACTTGATAACCTGATAAAATAAACAGTTCAATTCCGTTGCTAAAAAAAGAAAAAAACATTTTAATAATAAAATTGATTAAATTTAAATTTATAGAAGTGTTTTGAAAATATTGAACATTTGAGATGAATAGGCTACTTTGCATTGCTGCATAGCCGCAAGCTTTATCTTATCATGGATTACCCTCTTATCATATAGTTACAGATTTCAAATACTGATGAAAGTGATTTGGATTCATCACCTTCTACTCCAAGAAACATACAAACAAATGATGAAGTGATTATCACAAGTTTATCTGCTACATCTTTGCAACCTTTCAGTGCTGGGAAAAAGCGAATTGGTGGCAAACTTCATTTTGGTGAATGATAAAATTTAAAAAACAGAAAAAAAAAATTAATTGCTGCAAAATTTACATTCATTTGAATATCATAGTTTTTTATCAGTTTTAATTGAAGCATCATTTGGTTAAAAATTGATAATAATCATGATAATCTGATAACAAAAATAGGATCATAAAAAATCTTTCGTAAAGTAGTTGAATAAATCAGTTAAAAAAATTCTTAATTGAATATATTCAACAATATTAAAACTGATATTCTTAATTTTTTTTTCAACAGACAATACGCTTTAGCTTAATTATATTATCACAAAAAAATTGCATTAGATCAATGATCAAATTGATTTTGATAATTGATAACAATTCTTTTGGTTAACTAAATTTTAAGAAATTTATATCATTAAAATTGATATGATTATGATAATGATGAAACATTATGAATTATGTATTTTATTTTGTTTTTAAAACAATTTAAATATGAAAAGATATATTGACAAACTTTTTGTTGATAACGAAATATTAGCAAATCTTTTCTTTCATTAACAGTTCAAAATGTTTATATTTAATTACTATTATTATTTATTTAGCTCTGAACTTGTTAAAATCAGTACGACCTGATAATAATGATGATAATGGTTCAGATATTGAAATCAATGATGATGATAAAAGTCAGGTAAGTGAACAATTTCAAATTTTTATTCGAATAATGGAAAACAATAAATACTTTTCATTGAAATATTTAGCACTTTTTAAATTTTTAGTTTAACAATTTTACTGTAATTTAATTTATTTTTCATCAAACTCAATTTAATAAAAATAATTTTGAAAATAATTTGGACATATTTTTTCTATCGCAAATATACATTGAACATTTTAACAACTTAGCCAATTAATTAATTAATTAAACGGCACACTGTCGTCGAAAATAATTTGGACATATTTTTTCTATTTCAAATATACATTGAACATTTTAGCAACTTAACCAATTAATTAATTAATTAAGCGGCACACTTGATATTGATGGGTAAAATTATCGTCATCCGATGAATAAAAAATAGTTGTATTCGGAACTATTTCTAAAACTACCCATATTTACTGAATCAGATTCTCGCCTCTTAATTAATTATCAGTGCAACAAAAAATTACTGATGTAGTTTATTATCACAGAAAAAGTGTCATTGTTTTTCGGGTGTAAAATAACGCACAAATATTAGCGTATATTGAATGAGTAATTTAAAATTTTTAAAAATTATTAAAATTCAAAATATATTGTGGTATGATTTTATTTCATTTCTTATTGTTTAACAATTTTTAAAGTTTTAATTTTAAAAATTTTTAAAATTTTATTTTTACTTTAATTGTTTTTAAATATATATATGCATACTTAGAATGGAGGAATTTCCACGCATGATGAACGTCGTTCAAAAGGTTTAATAGTACAAAAACCGCCATCATCAAAAATCGTTATAACACATCAAAAGTCTACCGAATCTATGGAAGATAAACAAGGTTGCAAAACTTTTATTTCAATTATTTAAATTATAATTTGAAATGAAAAATTTCAAATTTTGAATATTAAATTTCAATTAATAAAATGCTTGTATATTACATGAACTAAAGAAAATTTTCGCCCTGAACATTTAAATCAGCATTCCCAAAAATTTTTGATTAACTATTTTTCTGGAAATAAAATTTTAAGGGAAATAATTTTTAACTTTATCTTAATTTTTTTTTTAATTTCAGAATTATTACATCCAAAACGATCCTCTTTAGCAACTTTAAATCTTCCATCACGTAAATTTGTCAATTTACGTGGTATCCAAGAAGGTGTACGACGTTTTGCATTTTTCTTGAAACATGTCGTCCAGGAAGTTATCCGGATCCTCCACTTCTGGTAGCATTATTAGATTTGAAATCACCTGTGCTTGCAAGAGCATCACTTCTTCTCGAATGTGCTCTTTTTGTTAATCGATGTAATAAAGGTATGATATTAATATTTTAAATGAATTAATTATCTTATTCTATAAATGTTTTAAATAATTGCAAAAGAAAAAAAGGATTTGTTAAATTAAATTTAAATTTAGGTGATTGGCCTGAATGGATACGTTCAAATAATGCATGTCAATTAAGTGCTTTCGTTATTGGAAATACTTTTGGAAGTCGTGGAACGCCAAGTGCAACACGTCGATTGCATATGATGCAACGTGCAGCTGCACGTTGTTTCTATGATTGGGGATGTCAGGTTTGATAAATTGATAATTTTTGAAAAATTTAATAACATATCATTTTTGCAGTATAATAGATAAAATAAAAATATTTGTTTGTTTGTTTTTTTTTTTTAGTTAATCGTTTTATTTGAAATTTTGACGTTAATAAATTGCAATTCTAATTAATTTTATTTTGAAATGACATTAAATTTTAATTTTAGATTTTAAATTTTTTTTAATTTTTTTTTCTAGATTAAACGAAAAATGATTTTTTTAATTTTTTAAATCAATTTTTCTCATGCTAAAAGTTAATTAATTTTTTTCCAATTTTTTTTTCTTCCCGCTTAACTTTTTGCTATTTTAAATTGTAATGGTTGGGAAATTTTTAGCTTGGTGAACGAATTTATAAAATTATGGAAGCAAATGGAGCAATGGTTAATAAAACTCCATCCAAAAAGGCTGATTTAAATCGACATGAACTTATCATACATGATAATTTAGAAGATTTCTTCGACGAAGGTTCCCCTTTTTCGCATTTTATATGATTAAATTTGAAAAAAAATCTATTTCAGGTTTTATTAATTTAAAATAATTAAAAATGAATAACATATATTCATCATTGAGATTGTTTTAAAGAAATATTTCAAAAAAAAAAAAAAAAAGATGGAAAATTTCAGGAATTGTAAATGATGAAAGTGGCGAACGTTGTCCACCAGTTATTTTATTTTTAGCATGTCTTTTGCTTAATGAAATTACCGCCTTCTTAAGAGAAACATTTCAGGTTTAAATATTTTAAAAATTTCTTTCACTGATCATATCAATGATAATAATACCTTAAAAAAACTTTCGTTTTTTTTTTTCATAATTAAAAATTGATAAAATTAATTTTTTTCTGTTGAATATTTTAAATTTTAATTTGATAAAATTTTTTTTGCAAATATATCTAAATGTAACAAATTTACTATTTAATATAAAAATTGAATTTATACAAACATTTAAATTATCATAGGAAATTTTGAAATATCAAAACTTTTGATGTGAAATTTCATTTTAAGTAAAATTTTATAAAATATTTTTTGTTTTGTTATTTTAAAAAAAGATTTCACAATGAAATATTAATTTCATTTCAAATAAAATTTATTAATTTGAAGACAATACAACGTTCACGAAGTAATAAAGGAATTAGTGGTGGTACATTAAATTATGATAAATTAATGTCAAATCGACGTTGGTCTATTCTTTCTAATATGTTTACCTTACAACAACAACAACAAAGAGCAAGTAGTATACAAAGTATTACGGATGTCAATCTTTCAATTCATCGTAACTTTTTTTTTCCTTCTATTTTAAATTAAATTTATAAAATGTATAAAAGATAATTAATGTTAGCATTTAATTTTAAATGATCTTTTACGCATCATATCATTTAAATAATTTTTGTAATTTTTTTTTATTATTTAAGTACAAAAAAAACAAAATATATATATAACATTGAGAAATGATAATATTTAAAGAAAAGAAGAAAGTTCAATTAACAAATTTATTTATTTTGAAATTATTGATAGAAATAATAAAATAACTTCATAAATTACTTTAAATTACTTAAATGTTTTGGAAATAATTTTTAGAAAGTGATCGTCGAATTAGTTTATCAACAAATGAAGAAAATTCATCACGAAGTTCACATGAACATACCGAAGAGATTACACAACAACAAAATGATAAAAAAGGTTTGTTAATATTTATTGTAATAAAATTATATAAAAATAAATGTTTTCTTAAGGTTAAAATTTTCTCCTTGCATAATTTCAATTCATTTCTCAATCTTTATTATAAGCATAACCATCATTGATTGATGATTGATTGATTAATTGATCGATTGATTATATTATTTGAATAAAGAATAGATTAAGAATGGAATTTAAATTTAATAAAAAATATAATTGATTGATTGATTATATTATTTGAATAAAGGATAGATTAAGAATGGAATTTAAATTTAATAAAAAATATAATTGATTGATTGATTATATTATTTAAATAAAGAATAGATTAAGAATGGAATTTAAATTTAATAAAAAATATAATTGACGATTGATTATATTATTCCAATAAAGAATAGATTAAGAATGGAATTTAAATTTAATAAAATAAAATAAATTTAATAAAAAATAATATTCCATCTTACATCATCATCATCATCATATAGTACAATGTACTAAAATAAATTAAGCAAATTTTTGGTGTAAAAAAAAATCATGACCCCCACAGATGATGATGATCCGAATGGTGACAGAT